CTCAAAAATGACTAACAACTGATCATATGAATCTTCCCCACAGAAAATCTTACTATGGAATACAAATGGTCTTCTAAAACATAAAGACGAACTTCAAACCGTTTTAAATGATTAAAACTGGTGCAGACACATATCAAGTGTTACGAGAATTGTGTGACCTTGTTTTATCAAATACGTTGGATTACGAACAATTTTGCAATATGCTTAAAAAACAATTCTCACCCAAAATTGCAGTATATCGTGAACGCACAAAATTCTACGAGTTGAAACAAAGCAATAATCAGTCTATCAATGAATGGTACGTAAATATGAAGAAAGCGGCTATGAGTTGCGAATTCGGCAATCACCTAATAGAGAAACTTAAGAACAAATTTGTCACGGGGCTTATAAAAGGTCCAATATTAGATAGGCTATGCGAGGAAGAGCCAAAGAAAACTCTCATCGAACTGATAGAAATCGCACAAAAAAGAAAAGTATCAATCTTGAAATCAAACGAAATTTTCTTCCCTATAAACAAAGTACACCAACCAAAAGCTTATCAAAAACCAAAGGCAGTCAAGGAGCGAGGAGTGTAAATAATAATAAATATATTTTCTTGATGATTTAATGCTTGCTACTTCAATGTGAAGAAATCCATCCTAAAGGTCAATACTAGAAAAATATTTATTCCCCCTCAAATAATCATTGTGATCATCAATAACAGGAATTGGATATCTATCCTTATAAATGCGTTTATTTAATTCTCTATAGTCAATGTACAATCTCATTTCACCTGTCTTCTTTTTAACTAATACAATTGGACTACTATATTCATAGTTGATTAGTCTAATTACTTTTTTTTCAAACAATTGATCTATTATCTTTCACAATTAATTTTTTTCAAATTATGACAAACGCCTGGGTTGAAAATAAAAACATCATTATTTTTTAATTTAATTTCTAATGGATCACTAACTGTTGATTCAAGTTCTGATTTATATTCATTGTTCAAATAAAAATCATTACATATATCATACAATTCATTCTTAATATTTTCAGGTATAGACAAATCCAAATTAAGATCAATATCATTAGATTTCATGTCCAAGGCACTCAAATTTAATATATCAACAAATGGTATTATATCACTATGTTTTAATTCAATTTTAAATTGACCATTGTTATTCCCAAATATAACTCTAGGATGAGATAGAAGATTTCTGCCCAACATACAATTACACCTAATTGTGTAATTGGGTACAACATTTAATTTAATATTTATTAGATCACCAAATTGATCAACAGAGTTTAAAGGGCTTTAAAGAGAAAAAAAAATAATAATAAAAATAAAAAATACATGATAAGTATTGTAATTTTATACAACACAAACATCATAGTCGGTTATATAATTTATTGAAATCAATATAATTGATTATAGTTAAATATATATATATTAATTAAATGGTTATTGATACAGATTGTAGTTGAACACAGATGTCTTTATTATTTCATGCTTCGCTCGACAATTGTTTTTTTTTTCTCTCGATACGTTCGAAAAATGTAATTAATCCTTTGTAACTATATGTTTTTAACATCTATTAAAAATATAAAGTATAACAAAACACGATATACATTTACAGCGCGTTATAAATTGCATGATTCAGATTTAAGAACCATGAGCTGAATGTTCATACTCCATTATATTTTATTCAATGTTATTCACTACAGTAAACAAAATACATTAAACACGGCGTACACTGTAATCTTCATTAGCTAAATATTTTAAGCAATTTCATGGTTCATAACAATTTTTTCCAATGAACTATTAAATTATTATATTTTTTGTTTCCGAGTTATTTTAGAAGCGTATACCCGTGAAATAATATTTTACATTAGGTATACACCGACAATCAAAAATCTACTGATGTGAATACGCCGTATACCCGAGTATATGTACCAATACACCCCTGCCTTTAAAGATATTTTCTTTTTGTAATTCTCATAACTCATAACTTATAAATAAAGCAATCATAATTGTTGTATAATAACAATAAAATGCACTACCACGTAAAATATGTAATTATTGTGAATTTATAACCAGGGCTCATAACTTCTAGCATTTACATATTTTTTTTGAGAAGTCCTAGAGATACCTATAAGAGCTATAAATTTGTTTCAGATAACCAGGAAGCTACATAAGAAATTGTATGTTGCATGTTTTTGCATATTTCGTAGTATAAGTGCTATTTTGCTTTTTTTCGCTTTTTTTTGCTTATTTTTGGATTTTACCATGATCTTTATCATTGAATTTTTTAAAAAAATTTTTAGTAGCCTGAAACATTTTTTCTTAAAAATAACAAGTAATTATAATCATATTAGTAATCAATTCGTGTTAATTAATTTTTCTTCTTATATAACTTATATAATAATATCAGAAGAAACTATATATACCTATACGAGTTTAGGCGACGCCCGATGTAGCGAAAATTTAAGCCCGAAACTTCGTAATCCCATCGATAAGGAACCATTATAATTGTATATATTTGTAGCATGTACTGTAGTATTTTATTTTTATAGTTTCTAGATATTCGGGTATTCAGATATCATTATCTAGATTTTCCGATATCATCATTCTCAGATTATTTACAATTTATTTTTCATTCAAATTTTGCAGTCGTTTCCGATTTTTCGTACTGTATGCGTGCTAGTTCGTTTCGTGAATTCAGTAGGTATTTAATTTTTTTTTTTTTTTTTTTTTTTTTTAATAATAGGAGCTAAAATAATATCATATAATAAATAATAATAATAAAATAATAATTTTTGTAAAAAACGTTTTTTTTTTTTTCATATTTTAGTGCATATTAAGCGCTTATATGAATACTTTTTAGAGCATATTTAAACGCTTATAACAACCTTTTTTAGAGCTATAAGTTGTGAGCCCTGTTTATAACTTATGTATAGTATATTACTACTGATGTTTCATTGGTGTTCACCGAAATTATTTTTGATGAGGTAGGCCATACGGGTTCTACGCAAGGCCTGATTTAATAAAATTAGGACTAAGTGCACAATTTTTTTTTGGGGCCCCAAGTCAAAAAAAAAATTACATAGAGAGGGAGGGTGAACATGTTGATAATAAAAAAAAAAATGTATATGTTTAAAAGTTTTAAATACCTATCTCAAAACTTATAAATTCCAAAAGCGAATGAAATATAAGCCAAGTGTTCTAAAAGTTATAATTGTGTGAATGAAATACTCATAGCGTCAAAAAAGGACGGGTAAATCTGTAAATACTAGACTCAAATAAATAGTTATTAGGTATCAAATATTTCCGATGTTCAAACAATTTACTATTATTATTAATTTAAATATTTTGTGATGGTCACTGATTAGAACTGAAGTGTGGAATGACAAAAATAACCAAAATTCAACAAAAAATTTGATGATAAAAATATACTGAACTCTGAACATTGACAATTGGTATTATATTTTACAAAACAAATGTTTGTGGAATCAATTTAAAAGTACAATTTTCTACAAATTATGGAGACCCAGGAGGCCCATATATTGGTGATCAAGTGCAAGTGCTCCATTTGAACTTGCGCAAATCAAGGCCTGGTTCCGCGCCGAAAATAT